TAGTTTTGGAGGGAATAGTCATTCGGGTAGCCATTTTTAAACGTTGCCGGGTTGACTTTATTTCCGTGTTGTTGTAGTGTGAAGTTAGCGTAGAACCTGGGGTTAAGTACACTACAGACTTTAATCTTGAATCTTTATTCTTCTATTGTCGAACCTTGATTTTTGAGTCTAAGGCTCTAAGTTCTGAATTTTAAACCTTGAAGCAGTGAGCCTTCAATCGCAGATCATGTTGGGTTTTGAGAATTGGGTCTTGATTCTTGAATTTTGATTCTTCAATTTTGGTTCTTGAGTGTTGACTATTCATACGTCAAAATTTATCCTTGAGCCTTTGGTCTCGACTTAAGTCTTTGAGCTTTAAGTCTGCGTTGTCGAACCTTTGAGTGCTTTCTCTTGAAACCCGAGCATTCACTCTTGAACTCCGAGCCTTGAATTTTGCATCTTGGGCAGCCATGAAAGCAGTTTTTTGAATATTGATTCTAGCCCTTAAGGATTAAGTTTTAGTTCTTTGGCCTTGAGTACTGAATAGTAAATTTTATACCTTGAATGTTAAATGTTCATTGGTCTTGAATTTTGAACCTTGAACTTTGATGATTCTTGATCTTTGAACATTAATTTTTAAGTATAAATTTTGAATCGCGAATCTAGTGTCTGGAGTATTGAGTCTTCGATTTTGGAACTTTGAATATTGAGTATTGGGTTTCGAATGGGTTTCGAATGTTTAGTTCTGAATCTTGAACCTTGAGTATTGAGTTTCTAATCATTCAGTTTTAGTCGGTTTTTTGAGTTGAGTTCATAAACTTAAGTAAACCCGGCATTTTCATGCTCAACTTTAGAATTTCAAATTCCGGATTAGTGAGCATGACTTATGAATCATAAAAGGATTCTTATCAATGAGCATTAAATTCATTATACCTAGAAGCACTTGAGCATCTAGAATCGTTAACCCCAGTTATGAACGTTTTAGAGACATTTTACATTCTTGCTAGGTACGGAATATTAATTTATGCTACTTATGACCCAAAAGCGATTATTCTGTTATTGCTTTGTAAATCAATTTTTGAAGAATTGGGGTTTTTAACACATCATTTCGACACCTTTGATAAGCCGCATCTTAAGGAACTCGCCCGTCAAAGGGCAGTCGCGAATCGGTCGAAGCGCACTAGTACAAAAACAGTTATCCTATCGCGTCAAGCAATAACAGAATAATGATTAGTAAATTTTGTGTACAAATAACTGCTAGTTAATGAAGGCTGATTGCAGAATCACTGTATAGCAGTATTCAAAGAGCGCACGCAGAAAGTGAGAAAGGAAACGAAAGTTAGGTACGTTAGCTGCATACTCAAAGAAAAATTAAGTTAAGTGGCAAAATTATACACTTTAAACACGTGCTTGTAACGAACCATTTTATAATTTATTTCATTTCCCTCTTTGTGTCAGGACTCTTAGAGCCACCACCGAGAGTAACTCCCATTACAAATTTCGAAAATATAACGCTCGAAATCTACGCGAATTATTATTGTGGTAAATTTATATTCCAAGTGAAAACTTCTAATCCAAGTTACGTAGGAGTATTAATTTTACGGCGACGGCATATTTTCGAATTTCCAAGTGCCATAATAAAACTCTCATCTACTTAAGGTACATGAATAATTCAGTTACTATAGGATACACTTCCTATTTGCATAACTAAGACCTATTAAAATGGTATACCAGGCCGGTTTTTAAGGGGCTAATGGAAAACGTTCATTTCAGCACTTGACCGCCGAAAATATCCCTAAAAGCGAAGTGATAGACTTTTCAAAAGAAAAATTTGTATCAGGAGACCATACTAAGCCACAAAGGAATCTTGCATTTTTATGGCCCTCATAAAACGTATTTTGAAA